GTCAGGAGACGCACACACGTACTGACATATTTTGTTATGTCTTAGGCCCACAAGAATTGATTCTGACAACTGTGGACTGAAACATTTGAAACTGAGTCAAAAGAAATCCTTCTTCTCAGTTGACTCTTTCAGTATTGAGTCACAGCAATGAACATTTAACAAACTAATTCTGTGTGTTTCCTGTGTGCTCTTTTGAATAAAGTCAGTGTACACTCTAGGATGTCATGTATCAAGGTTAGTTGATCCATCGTGAGTTCTCAGCAGATTTTAGGACCAGATCTTGATCACAAATTGATTCTCCTTTTCCTCACGTAAGTTCAGATTCAAAATTTGCTGCTTCTCCATGTCAAATAGAACACTTGAATAGTTTAAAAAAAAAAAAAAGATGGGCTAATTCATTCTGCCTGAGGCAGGAAGAAAGGCACAGCAAGGGAGGACAGAAGGGATGCTTGTGTGGGATGGTAAATGATAAGGAAAATGCATAAAATAGGAGGAGGAAAAGTTGCAAGGTGCAAAAGCAAGCAGAAAGTGCCACATGAAGATGTCTGGGATGAAGCAACGTGCTCAAAACTTAGGAAAACCAGAACAGAGAATGGATTAGCCAGAGAATCAACTAAACTTTATGCTTTGACTGTGCTGGACTTCAAAACAGGGTCTTCCCTAAGAGTAATGATTCATCTGCTCATCTTCACAATGTGATCAACTGCATGTCACCCTCCTCAGATAGTGGAGGCTTAACTACCAAGGACCTTAGAGTGTAATTGTGCTTGAGGATCTGAAAGTGGTAATCATATTCAAGTGGGGCCTAGTCTATCCTAATATGTATCCTTATAAGGAAAGAAATTTAGACATAGACATAATCATCACAGATGACAAAATTTGAAGCCAATCAGGACAAGCCAAGGGTAAGACACCTGTCCTGTGGGACTCTGATATTTCAACCTTAACAAATTAATACACCTGATTTCTGATGTATTTCATCTAAATAGCTAAAGTGCTTGATGAGGGTCTAGAGAGATGAATCAGCAATTATGACACTAACTGAGAACCCTGGTTTAGTCCTTATCACCCACATGGTGACTGATAGCTTTCTGTAACTCCAGTTCAGGTGACACAATACTACTTGTGGCTTCCATGGGTACCAGGCACACACATGCTGCATATGCATATAGGAGGCAAACATTCAAACACACACACAAATATTTTTAAAAGCTTGATGATGGACACTGTCACTACTTTTTTTAGTTTATAATAATGGAAATTTAGCAGATTTCATGCAATCATGTACAGCAGAATTTGTTGTAGGTACAGACAGACAAGTATTCATATAACATTATCTGTACTTCACTGGGAGACCAGGTAGAAACTGATAATTCAGACAAAGTCAGTTCAAGACTTTTTGAAGAGTGTTTAGGAGAACCAATGAAGTAATGATGGAAAACCTTGTGAGGTTTATACATAGACATAATATGACAGAAAATCTGTCTTATTTAGGTACACTTGAAACACTAACATAGTTTTCCTTTTCTAAATATAATGAATTAAAACTTAAAAGCCTAGAGATGTTAAACCTTTATTATTATTTAAGTGCAAAGCCTTCTGATGAAGTTCCCTTTAACATTGGAATATTTTGAACTATGTTGCTTCTAAATCTCCTATGGCTGTTATTAATTCTTAGGTATTTTTGAAGGACTCCTGTCAAGAATTGAAGGCACTCAACTCAAACTTGTTTAGATATATATTAGACATATGTCTATATGTGTGTTCACTCTGGATACTCATCTTCCTTCATGAATATGCCCTCTTCCTTTGGCCCTTCACCCTTCTCACACTTTCTTTCTCTCCATCCTGTAACATTGTTTTCTTTAAACTTCATTACTGTGCAAACCACATCTCTACTGAAATTCTAGAACCCATGTGTTTACATCATAATTAAAATTAGGGATTGCAACAGTGAGCTCTAGTCAGAAAACTCAGCAAACCATACACTATTTTCGCTCAAAGTGCACTCATTTTGTTAACTGTAATCCCTAGGCTATACTGTGTCTGTTCCTCAGACCTGGGACAGTGTCAGAGGCTAGTAGGATCACAAGAAGAACAAAAAGCCAAATACCATTCGAACATCATGGATTAAGTTTTATGGTGGATGTGTGTCTATGTGAAAATGAGCAAAGTAGACAGTGTCCACATATGAAGATACCATAATCAAATTCAGCGTTCTGAATGATGCATGGATACTAATAATAATAATCTTTTTAAAGTTGCGGTGATATCCAGAAAGAGGATAATGGATAATATAGAAACTAAAATAGCTGGTAAATATTCTATGTAATCTGTTGTTTCTACACCATTACGTATGCATATGTCTTATCTCTTCAATCTAGACTCCTAAGTGGGCTTTTTATTTGTAATGGCTATACATGCTTATGTGTGTCTGCAACTCACACAGGTGTGTGTGTGTGTGTGTGTGTGTGTGTGTGTGTAATTATTCACTTTTCACATATTTGAAAGGGTCTGGTTTTTGTTTCTGCCTATGTCAAGCTATCTGGCCTCCAGGGATTCTATACATAGCTTCAAACCCTCGCAGGAGCACCAAGATTACAAAAATGTTCTGTTTAACATGGGTTTAGGACATTCAAATTCAGGTGCTTGCATGGCAAATCCCTTTCCCATTAAGCCCATTTATACAAATAGGCATATTTTTACTCTGGGATATATGCAAAGAACAAAGAGTATTGTACACATTGTGTTTGACAGGTAGTTTTTAAAATCAAATATTTCATTTAATAAGCAGAATAAATGAACTAGGTACCTTTATCATCCTTATTTTATATCTAAGGATTAACTTGTGACGTTCATGAGTCCCCACAGTAAAGAGAAGGTAATGAATTCAAGTACAGCTTTGTTCTACATCACGGCTTCTTACTGGTTATCCCAGCATTTATTATAGGTGGAGTTGAATGAATGAGCCTGAAAAACCAAATGTCTTGCTATATGAGACATGTGACTTTAGCAGTAAAACAATAAGCTGAATCTAATGTTCTGCTCAGCTGTCAAACTTTCTACAAGGGTTCAAAGCCAGTGGAATGTGTTACTTATACACTATAATTTTATATCATTCATCACACGATATGTTTCTTAACGTTCCAAGAGTTAGGTAGTTGTGAATTAGGTTGCTGATTTTTAAGGTTCATTTTATCAAATATGAACAATTATGTCAAATTTATAAAGATCTGACTTAATACACTACTAGAAATGTTTTTGCAAGCAGAATATTATTATGATTCTTAAGTTTCAATCAAAGACAAAAATCAGTGTATGTGAGCATATTTACTTTATACTTTCTGTGTGAATTTCATCATATTTGCTATATAATTTCAAGTTTGAATCAAAATTTTTATTCATAGATTTACTTGGTCTCCAGTGAAAATATTAATTTTAGCATTATACATATTCACTTATAGATAATATAGGTATCAAAAACACATTCATGCACTCATACACATTTACACACTAACTCACATACACTCTGAAAAATACAAGCTTTTCAAAGACACACACCCGAAAACATTTACACATGATCAAACACACAAACTCACATACATTTATCCACACTATGTATTCTCCCACACACTCAAATACACCCATGCATGCATTCATCCATACTCACATACGTTCTCACACTCACCCATGTACACTCATTCACACAACCTTACATGTATGTATGTTCACACATACACAGCTACACATTCTCAAACACATTGACATATTCATAAAAACACTCACATGTTCTCTTCTATATTCAAGAACTGTTAGCTTACAAAAAACACAACAATGCTATAAAAAACAGGAGAAAAAAGATTATTATAGGACACTTTGAATTTTAAATGAACACAATAAATGCAAGAACAAAAAAGGGAAATTCAATGTTAAATTATTAAAATTCAACTATAATTAGACACAGTATTTTTTAAAGTGTTACTATTTCCAAATTCTTTGTAGTTAAGTCTAAATACAATTATACACATATTAGAAATATTGTACATAATCTACTCCATACATTATAAGAATCAAGGATAAATAAATATTAAGTCTAGGGATAACTAACCCTGCAATACAGTGAAGTGATTTTAAACAACCTATGAACATGTTTATTTGAATGTTGTTTTTTTAGCCTTTTCAACTCATAGAAGCTGGTTGTGCTGACAGACTCCTGTAGTCTCAGCATAAGGCAAGAGGATTACAAGTAGTAGTTTAGTCACAGATACAAAGCAAAATCTTGACCACCCCACCCCATCCCCTAAAAGAGAGAAAGGACTCTTAACACTTTGCATTGCTTATCCAAATATTCTCTTGTATATTCTTTCCATTATTGCTATTATAATCCCATTGCACTTATCTTTTCTTTCTAACCACAAGTTCAGCAGCTATTTATAGACTTTCCTTGGGTTCGAATATCCTCCTGAGCTGACATCAATGTGCAGAAATGAACACAGAGACACCAGTTATCGGGCTCCTGTCTTTTACTTTGTCAGGTACATTCATCTTCTTCTGAGAAAGTCCATGTGAAATAGCACAGACCTATCAAAGATAAATGAGCAGCTAGAGCCTCTCATTGTTTTCTATTTTATTACAGCAATTATAAGTTCATTTGGTGCGAAGACCTGATATTCTAAGTTTGGAGGGAAAGTATGTGCAATTATTTCTAAAGACTGTCAATTATTCATGACACCGTCATTTGAGACATGATAATTGCTATCTGTAAGTCTAAAGGAGTTGGTGAGAGGTTCCAGTTTTCAAGGAAGAAAAATTAACAATTACTGCCTGTATTAGGCCCTTAATTTCTTGTAATTGAAAAGAAAAAATAGAATAAATATATATCTTCCTATAATTGGAAGAAAGACTGATAAAAGATACTAAACAATCAACTTTAGGCAGCCAGAGAAAGTATCATATTGAAATTTTTTAATAAAACACTATAAATAAAAGACTAATATATATGCCCTGGCAATGGACAAAGAGACACTTTGTTGGTGGTGGTGTTTTTATGTCAGTCAGAGGCAAAGAGATGACAGTCCTGTGGTCATCCAAGTTTGATACCTGGCTTGGTGGCCAAAGGCATTTTATGCCTAGGACTTATAAAAATCAAATCAAATACAGGCAGCACAGTGTGGAAGAATGAAGACAGATAGATACTTGTGGACCACCATGTGACCCACAGAGCTGCCATCCAGTGCAAGGTACAGGTGGGCCATTAGACATCTGATTGCCAACAGCCCATCAGCATGGATGGATGATATCACCCAGTGGCCTGTGAGCTGTGGTACCAGACACCACAGTGTATGAGAATACAGTGGTCAAATGGGAGAGAAAAGGAAATGGGGCAGTGTAACCATTATGAAGAAAGATGAAACTGGAGACTCGGGGATATAGAAAAGTAGTCTGTTGTGTGTAGCTAGTCCTGCCACCTGAGGTCATGGTAAGGTCCCAAACCAAGCTGCCACTTTAGGGCATGCTGGAGTCTGTGGCTACACAGTGACAGGGGTCAGTAATTGATATCTGTGGCTCATATTACCACTAAAGAACAAGGGGATGTCCCTGGTCAGGGTAGCCCCCCAGGACTACCTGGATGTCCAGGGGCTGTGCAGAATTGGCCCTGCCCCTCATTGGATACAGCACTCTGGAGAACTGACCTCATTTCTCACTACGGCAAGCACTTGGAGGAGCAGGCCCTGTGCCTCACTCAGTCAGCACAGTGAACTAGCCCTTACAGCAAGGGGATCAAAAGGTGAGCTGCCTCCAAAGGATATGAAGGTAGGAGAGCTGACCCCATCACCCGTCTTCCACGGGTGGCATGTGTGCAGAGGTGATGTCCCACTACTGGCTCCTCACCATGTATGGCAGGCAGGAAAGCCCGCAGGGTCATAAGCTTGGGAGAGGTGACCTGGGTGCAGAGGTAACGCCCCTCTTGTCCCTTGTAACCAGCAGCAGTCAAGAGAGCTGGCGCCCAGGGCATGAGAGCTGGAGAAGCATCCCTGCCCCTCACTGGCTATATCACTCAGAAGAGTGAGCCCTGGACCTCACCTGGGCAACACAGTGAAGCTGACACTGATAGCAAAGGCTCAGGTGAGCCAGCTCCAATCGTGTGAGAACCAGAGAGCTGGCCTAGATCCTCACAGGTTGCAGCACTTAGAAGTATAGACCCTGAACCTTGGCAGCACAGTCGAGCTGCCTCTGAAGGAGTGTGTGCAGGTGACAGGCTCCTAGGGAATGAGAGCAGGAGAGCTGACCCCTGCCTTCTGCTGTTGGGTGGTCTAACAGTACTGGAGAGTTCAGCCTAGTGGTGCTGACCAGCTCAGCTATCACTCAGGCCATAACCCAGGGATTTGAGATAGCCAACCTCCAAATCTATATGGTCTGCAATTGGATGGGGTATATGAAAGGGCCAGTCCTGCAGATCCAAAGCTAAAGGATCTCCATGACACAGGAAAACAACAGGATAACTGGGAGGAGTCCCGGTGAAAATCCAATATTGATGGTATCACAGAAGCCAGAAATCTTGAAGGAGACCAATGACTCATTCCAATGAACATTTGCAAGTGAGGATGTCTGGACCGAGGGATATACCATGACACACTGTGACACACTATAGCTTCTACAATGAGATGTTTTGTTGTTGTTGATGATGATGATGATTGTTTATGTGTGTTTTTGAACTGGGGGGGTGTCACAAGAGGAAAGGGAAGATATGCGGGAGCAGGGAAATGAGCAGGACTGGGGTACATGATGTGAAACTCACAAAGAATCAATACAAAAGTTTGTTTTAAAAACAGATATAAATGACTGTGGTTAATATAACCAAAATGCTCATAAAGAAATCATGTAAGAGTAGTGTTTCTTATAAGCCAAAGTTACACAAGCTCTGGGGAAAACAAGCATGATCTTGGAAGAACAAATTAGGAATGAAGGGTGCATTGCGTCAGGAGAATGCTAGAACTCCTGGCTAAGAAGCACAGGCTGTTGACTAACTCACACTTGGACCTGAAAAACTGATTTTCTTCCCTGGGAGCCTGGGCAAGATGAGGCCATGGATCCAGTTGGACCACTCAGGAACCATTAAAAACAAGTGAAAAGCAAGAGTCCAGTGAAAGTCTTCACAGAATATAAAAAGCAAAAAACAGAGCATCAGGCAACAACCCTGGCCTGGAGCCAGCTTAGAAGGCTGTCAGACCACAAATAGAGAGTAAAAAGATCCTCAGAGAGATAAATGAATGGTAAAAAAAAAAATTGCTTGAAATGATATTACTTCTGAGATGATTTACAAATTCATAATTTTTCTAAGTGCTCCTACTTACTAAGCTCTTTTGTTTTAGCAATGGTTGATGTGGAGCACCCGCTGTCACTTACTGCGCCCAGTGAGAATCCAGGAAGGTAGAAGCAGCTGCCAACATATTATTAATCAATCCTGTCATCATTTGTCTTTCACTGGAATGTAAATGTATTTTAAAAAGGAAGTGTAGGTTTAAGGTGAGAAAGAGTAGGATATACAGTGTGTGTGTGTGTGTGTGTGTGTGTGTGTATCCTACAAAATGCTGGGAGGCTATAAGTCTTAGAATACATTGTCTTAAAATGACTTCGGCACTACAATTTACAAGAAAGATGTTAAAACTTTGACTCTTCATTTTTATAGTATTTATTAATTTCTCATAAAGTTTTATATTTTTTTACATAAAATATGTTTTGATCATATTTTCCTATGTCCCCACTCTTTCAAGATCCTACCTACCAAAAATCACAATATATCTCTCTCTTTCAAAACAGGTTAAACCTAATAAGTAACAAATGAATAAACAATGAAATGAGACAATAAAATCCTACCTATAAAAACAACAAAAGAAGCCCAAAAACAAAAACATAGAGCCAGTTTTATTGGCCAATTCTTGGACATTGTTAGGAGCACCCAGGAATGTTGTTGATATACCCTGTGACACCCAACTTGGGAAATCTGACTATTCCATCTCCCAGTGGGTATCAATTGTAAATAGTTTCTTGGTTAGGGTTGGGTGTTTATATTTGCTTCTCCTTCTCTATGTTGGAATTTTGTCTGGTTTGAACTTACACAGCTTACTGTACAGAATGCTTCAAAGACGTTCACTGATTGCAGATTCTCTAGTTGTAGATCTCTGTGGTACTTACTACCTGCTGCAGGAAGAGACTCTGATGATGGGTGAATGATGCTCTGATCTACAAGTGTAGCACTAGGTCGTTAGGGAGTCATTTTAATGGTATGTTCTTCCTTCAGCAGAATAGTAGCATTATCTAATGTCTTTGATCATAGGCTCTTGATTACTTTGGCTGTGTTAAGTATGGGTTCCATTTCATGGGGTGGGCTATAAATGCAATTAAAATTAAAAAGTGGTTTGTTACTTCTCAAACATTTACCCCAGTATATCTTAAAGGTAGGTAGGTCATGGTTTTACATCACAAGGATTGTATCTGGATGATGCTAAAGAGTCTGTCCCTTCTTTTATAGTATCCAAAGTACTTCCCAGTTCCACAAATGTTAATCAATAGGGGTGAAGCTTCTAGGTGGGCCACAGCTTGATTTCTCCATGGTTGATGACATAAGGAAGTTTTTATCGTCACCAGTAGGATCTTATCATCAAGTTATAGAGAATAATCGAGAGGCTTGGCAATAGTCTTTGATGCCTGGTTTGCCTTTAGGCCCCCTTTTGATCAATGAGTCAACAAGATGAAACTCATTCCTGTCAATGGAGGTTTTAAGGATAGACTATGACGTCTAGTTGGGGCACTGCTTCCCCTATTAGATGCTGGCTCCCTTTAAGTTCCTTTCATAGATGAATATATTTGAGCGAGCTGTTAGAACAGTAAGATTCCATGTGGCTTTTAAAGATCTTTAGTGTTAGAAGTCCCTTCCTATATCCCCTCATTTACCCTTCTCTCTCATCCCATTCTATTTAATCCTCTTATTCTTCTCATTTCCCCTTTATTTCTTTACAACATTATATCTCTTTTTCTTTTCATTGGGAGATTCCTTCTGGTCACTGTTTTTCTTTCAGTACACTCTCCTTTAATTTCAGTGTTCTTATTTCTTTTCTTCCTTCCTTCATTTATTAGCTCCTTCCTCTCAAAGTTCCAGAGAGCAGTTAACTGCACTGTGGAAAGAAATATAATCCAAAATGAACAAATAAACAGTGGTGTGTGCATATAAAGATATGGATACATATTCGGATAGATGTGTATGTGTTAATGCAAGTAAAACACGTTTGTTGGAAGCAAGGTTTAAATTAAAGATTAAGCATGCCATAAACTCTGATAGAGGAGAATCGACAGTTGGGCTCTATCTGTTTTGTTCATAAACACATAAGAATGGCCTGGTGCTATGTGCAGATTTTAAAACAAAATGAATAATGAATATACATACCTTCATTTTCTCTTGATACTTTAATCAAAAGAGAAGCAAGGAGGAAGTATTTGCTTCCTTTGACAATAACTCCATTGAAGATACATAGAGGAAATGTAACACAAATCTTCAATGAAACAGTACATGTTTGTACATGAAGCAACACATAAAAAGTAGAGAAAGAGGGGAGTATCAGTGGAAAAGTAAAACACTTGAGGAAGAAGAAGTTCAAACTAAAGCAAAGGAAAAAGAAGAAACAGTCCGCTTTTCCTCCCTAAACTCTGGAAAAGTTTAGGAAGCAGAGGCAAAAGATATGTTTAAAAGGGAGGAGGTACAGGCTGAGAGGATGAGCATATTTGAAAGTTGATTTCCCAGAGGTTCAATCTTCTCATGGCCCTCATGTACTATGCCCTGAAAGTCAGGTGACCATTCTTCCCTATCCCGAGAGAGAAAACACATTCTGTGGAGAAGAATACCAAGCCCGGGGACAACACACCGGTAGCTGCACACCAAGAGAAGTAAGGAAAAACTATATACAGAGATTCTTTTAAATTTTCAATTTTGTTGAGCTTGTCTGAAGTCCAGTTACATAGTTGTTGGTGACATCAAAGAATGCAGGTGACTACTGCATCCACCCAGAGAAGTACAGTTGTTGTCTCCCACCAAGAAAAGTTCTCATTGCAACAGATGGGGATCATTATGGAAACTCACAGCAAAT